TTATTATTATTATTATTATTATTATTATTATTATTATTATTATTATTGATACATAGCTCATGTTTCCAGGCAGCACGGTGGTGCAACTGGTAGAGCTGCTGCCTCTCAGCGAGCAGGTCCCTGGTTCAAGCCCCGGTCCAGGGGCCTTTCTGGGTGGAGTTTGCATGTTCTCTCCGTGCATGTGTGGGTTTTCTCCGGGTACCCCGGTTTCCTCCCACAGTCCAAAAACATGTATGTTAGGCTGATTGGTAACTCTAAATTGTCCCTAGGTGTGAGTGAGAGAGTGAATGGTTGTTTGTCTCGTTTGTCTCTATGTGGCCCTGCGATGGACTTGCGACCCGTCCAGGGTGTACCCCGCCCCTTGCACAGTGATTGTTGGACATGGGCACCAGCGACCCCCGTGACCCAAAATGGAATAAACGGGTAAGATAATGGATGGATGGATGGCTCATGTTTCCCTTATGACCACTACATTTGTTTAGTTTAAACCTTGCATTATTCTAAGTCTTGATGTTGGCAATTTAAAGTGACCATACACAGATACAGTATCAGAGTTTCTTTATCAGAGTCAGAGTTTCTTTATTGTCGTTCCACCACATGTGGTTCATGTGGTGGAACGAGGTTATGTACATAGGCTCCCCGTTACATCCCACAATAAAATGTAAAAGTAAAACAGTATCTAAGATATGAACTATGAGACAAGTTAAGCTGGAAAGTTCTGAACCTCGTAACAAAAATATTAACATTTTTAATCATTTCTTTCACACTTAACAGATTTTTTTAACTAAGAAAAACTCTTGTATCAGATTTTAAGCAATCTTTTTATCATTGCAATATTTTAAAATGTAAATAATTTCACAAACACAGTGTTGTTATTTGATGTGTAATTATTGCAAAAATTCACTTAATGTGTCCTCCAGTGTCCAGTTTAATGAATCAGAAAACTTTATTCAAACCATGAAGCACATCAAAGATTAACTTCCTTAAACATTAAAATATATTTTTATCAAACAGCAAAGCCCGGTCACTTGAAGATGAAATAACTACAGTCACTTTATCATAAACTGAATTTGAGAAACAAATCACTGACCTTAAATTTTAAACTCTTATGTTATTTCAGCTGTCAATAAATCAAACAAAAAAAAATCAAATACTTTATTTATTATAAAATATAATATTTACTTGTAACATTTTACGTATTTGCCTGGCCTATTCAGTTAAAAAGAGAAATATCATAAAGCCATTGAATTAATCATTTTGAACACTTTTTCGTTATTGGGGCACAATATTATAAGAAAAAAACCTTTTATTGTTTATTCTAATTATTAATCAGAAAACATTTTTTCTGATTCTTTAGCAGACAGGACTAACTGGTATCCCCCTCTTGGGTACATGAGGTGTTGTCCTATTAACCATCTTGATGCAGTCTATAATTGGACAGACACTGAGGCACAGCGTGCAGCCCGTACAGCTGTCAGTCACGAAGGGAAGGTGGGTCTCTGGGTCAAAGGTTATGGCCTGGGCAGACAGAAAAACAGGGTCAGCACTAAAAACTTTACATTTGTAAAAGAAAAGGCAGGTGTTGATGATAAAACAGAGTTTTAATGTAACTGACAGATATACCTGGTATCCAGAGTCGTTGCAGGTCATGTAACATTTCCCACAGTTGATACACATGTCTTCATCTATCAGAGCCTGGACCTGAAAATCAATGAAACCGTCAATATGGCTGATGGGTGACATACTAAACATAACTGGCATTTAAGGTTTATGGCTGTTTGTTTCACTTCAGATGTACAGTACATGTTGATTGATTTCTCTAAATCCTGAAGAGAAAAACATTTTGAGTGCTGGAATTAGCTGAAATTGAATTGTTATTGTTAAAACAATAAGAGCAAAAGTAAAAATGAGCAAAACAGAAGATAAAAAACATATTTGTCTAAAACATGGTTAAGAGCTGAAATAAGCAAAATCTTAACTAAAAAAGTAAAATTTGAAAAATTGTGGGTAATGCTAAATTGAGCAAAACTGTAGCTAAAATCTAAAATTAGCAAAATTGTGCTAAATACTAAAACTAGCAAAGCAATGACAGAAAGCTGAAAGGTGCAAAACATCAGCTAAAAGCTAAAATTATTCAAAGCTGACATACCATACCATACCATGCCATACAGCATACCATACCATACCATACCATTTTTATTTATTTTTATTTATCTTTTATTTATACAGTTAGTGTCATTGAGTCACGACAACTCATTTTCAAAAGAGACCTGTTTTGGGGAGCAGATGGTGGAGGTTAAGGGCCTTGCTCAAAGGCCCAGAGTGGGGCAAATGAGGGTGGAGGCTGGTGTGGGTGTTTTACCTTTTCCACCCAGATTTTTTTAAACGTTGTCAGTCCGGGGAGTTGAATGTATGAGTTTCCAATCAGAGGCCCATCTTTTCTAACCTCTGCGTCACCACTCCCCTAAACCATACCAGGAGACAACCCTAACCCCTAACCATACCATACCATACCATACCATACCATACCACACACCACATCACATAACATCACATCACATCACACTACATCACACCACACCACACCACACCATACCATACCATACCATACCATACCATACCATAC